CGGCAGCACCTGCAGTGGGAAGGAGAGCCTGGCCTCACCCGGAGCGCCGCACCACCCGCTTCTGACCTGCCTGACACAGGCTCTGAGAGCTGGGTGGGAAGAGCCACCAGTGTCTGCATCCTCCTCCCGCTCTAAATCACCCCGGAGCTGCTCTTTCCAGCCTGTTCTTATGCAAAGGCTCTTCTCTACTTCCCTGTGCTACCTCTGTCCAGCTCTGGGACCATCCTGGTGTCAGGGCCGCCCTTCTCCTCTGGAGCCATCCCATTGACTTCAGGCAGCTCTTGCTGGCACAACCCTACTGACTGCAGGGCTGGAATTAGGGGTGAACGCCACTTCACTTTCCCCCTCCCCTAAAGCCATTCCCCTCCTGTCGCTGCCCATCGCCTGGTCTGCTTCTTGCAAAGCTTTGGGGGTTGCTCGTGCCCCCTGGGGCCAGCGTTAGCCCTCAGGGGCAGCATTGTCTGTACCGGTCCATTGAAGCCCTCGACGTGCCCCATCCCGAGGGGCAACCGTGGGTCACATTTCCTACGGTGCTTCCCTCGAGTCCCGGTGCAAACGTGTGCGGGAGCTTCCCGCGAGCTGTGAACACACCTAAAAGGACCAGAAAGTGCGATTTTTACACGTTCTGTGCAGAAACAAGGCCTGGGGAATGGTGGGGACAGTGTCCCTGTGGCGTGCGCGGGGGTTCGGGGGGGCTCCCCCCATCAGCACAGGGCTGCAGCTTGGCTCCCAGCTGTGGGCCAGGGACGGCTGCACTTACTGCAGGCAAACAGCACTGCCACCATCAGCAGGACCTTCATCTTCCTCTCACCCAGGCCTGGGAGGAGAAACGGGACACACTCAGCCAGGCAGCATGGCTGGTTGACAGGCGCTGCCACCCAACCCTTGTCTCTGAAGTCAGGTCCAATCACCCCGAAATCAGAGGGGGGGGAAGCCGTGCCCGCTTGCATCTGTGCTGCTGCCTCTTGGCCAAAAGCAAACACTTTTGGAAGCTGTCCCGGCACCCGAGCATCCCCTCCCTCCCG